ACGGCATCATTGCCAGAGCGTCCACTCAATGACAGTCGCCTCTTTGATGAATTCATCCCCTGTTGTTGGCGGATTTCGTACAAGGCTGGGGAAAAGCGGTTCCTTAACTCCCCGCATCAGGTGACGAACTTTCCTTGCCTCGGGCATGTCAGGGTCAGCGCGGCGAAATAGACGGGCCATAACCTCAGCGAACATGGCAACGCTTTCGTTCGGCTTTTGCACGCGGGATTCAATCATCTGTTGTGCAAGATCCCATCGGTCCGCACTCAGGAACGTCTCGAGAAGCTTTTGGCGAAAATTGTCCCAGGTTTGGAAAGTAGGTTCCCTGTTCTCGTACCATGTGCGAGCGCTATTTTCCATTGCGAAGTAGGCACGGCCAAGTTTTTCTTGCATGCTCCAACGATTCACCACAGCGGTCCGCTCGAACTGGTCGAGCCAGTCTTCGACATCTTCTACGGTTCTCCACGGAAGACTTCGGGAACACGAGGAGTCTCAAAAGTTACCTGGTAAGGATGAGTCGTGTGGGCCGGAGGAAGATTCGCAGACGTTGACGGGGCCGCCATGTTGATAACAGGAGATGCTGTCAAAAGTTATGGACTTAGGCCTAGTAGGCGCCGGCTGAATCGGTGTACTGGAGTCGTAACAAGATGTTGAGGCTCCGGACTGGGTGTACGGTCCCAAACAACGCTTTCTTGCATCAGGTTGCAGGATCCAGTACCTCCACCAGTGTCGCGACGTGAAGACAGAAGTCGTATTTGAAGACGCTGAGAAAACAGCAGCGGGTCGGTTTTTTTATTAACTGCACGCGCCAGAGAGTTCCTCGTCTTTTTCGTTGTTGCGTTCTGCATAAAAGCGTGTAGATGCGCGTATGCGCTGTCGCCTTCGTCTTTTTCGCGGGACGCACGTGACAATATGTACTCATCACTTAGTCACCGTCTTGAATAAAGTAAGTAAAATTTTAAACACAACTTCTAAAAGGCATATTCAGCCCTACGGCATAAAAATTTTTGTAAAGAAATGCATAGCAGCAAGGAGAGTCCAACTACCGCGCAGCATTACATCAACTTTTCACTAAAAATCCATATAGTGTCCACAAACGTGAACGCCACAGCATCAACTCAACATAAAACACTATGGGCGCTCACAGTGCAACAAAAGTAACATAAAGACAAGATACTCTTCCTCTTCTCGAAAAAAGCCAATTAATTCAAAAGTTCTAAGGCATTCAAGCTGAACTGACAAAAAATGCAGGCATACACCTCGACGGGCGACTTGCGGAGAACATCATTGTTCTTAGCACACATACTGTAGTTTGTTTCTTCAGGTTGTTACCTGGATGTGTTATGAAACGCTGAAGAAACGCCAACATTCAAAATTGATTTTTATTGTGTTGACTACCTCGCACTCCACTAAAAGGTGTTGTCCACATATATGGACACCAGTGCAAAGTGTTAAATGTCAATGCATAATGAAGATGCAAATATTGGCACATTAGTTACTGAAATAGTGAACCGGCCTTAATGGTCTAGTGGTGATTGTGCTTTACTGCTTACCCAAAGGTCGCGGAATCATATCAGCTGCCATCATATCAATCATATCATATATTATTTTAGGAGGTTAAACCTAATAATTATTATTATTACTTTAAAAAGCTATACGGCATGTGCTGTCACACTGAGAATTATGGCATGGAAAGCCCATGTAGCATTGTCAACCTCGCACCACTGTCGTTTGCGTGCTATTGTAATAGAAAAATTGCTCCAGAAGCAGTGCACTCACTAAAATATTGTACTGGGATAGCAAGCATACGGACACTTTTGGCGGGGTTTTCGTCCTCGCCATCACCCGTTACCACCATGTTCTGTATATGCTAAGTATATATTCATATATACGATGGGGGTACCTAAAAGCAACCGGACCGGAGCTGTGCTGGGCGGAGCTACCTTAGTATGCAGTTTGTATCACGCTAGCTGAGCATTGCGCGACTCATTTCAAGTTCACTGAATCCGGTAATTTCTTCCAGGAAGCTTTTCTAAGCACATAGCGATTTTTTTTGTGTGTAAAAGCAGTTTCACGCTCAAAACCCTCTTTTCGCAATGGCCAATCAAAGTGATCCAAGGGGGGGCTTAGAAATTTTGTTCCATGCTCTGGGAAACTTACTAGGCAACTGTTGAGATATTAAATACTGTTTACAAAGATGATGCAATAGGAAAAACACAACAGTCTGAGTGATTTTTTTTCTTTTTTGAAAAAGAAAGAAATGTTGCTTCCTCAAAAACCTCGTTCTGGACGTCTGTCAGCTTCATGAATGAATGAAAATATCACAAAATTTTTGACATTTGTGCTTGAAAACCGGCCGAACAAACAAAGAGTTGGATAAGTTATCTGGTATACCTCGGAGGCCGTTCAACAGATTTTAAAAAAAGATTTTGGGATAAGAAGGGTCATTGTGCAATTTCTGCCACAAATTTCGACAAACGAGCAAAAAGGTGGTCGAACAAACAAAGGCCATGCCTTAAAAGAATATCTGTAAAGCTACCTAGAATTTCACTCAAAGGTTGTTACGTGACTAGTCATAGTACTAGTCTCACCACCAGAAAAAAATAACATTTCCTCACCGCTCAATTAAAGCAGCCACTAAAAAAAAAGGCCGGTGCGTGACACTGTTTGCTAAAAAAATCACTGTTTACCGGGAAAAGGTTCCTGGAAGAATCTACGGGATGCGAAAAACTCAAGAGGTGTGGCACGATGCACACGTAGCCGGAGAACTACGTACAACAGTAGCTCCTCCCAATGCAAACCAGTCCGATCACTTTTGGGTACACTGTCGTAAAAGCCAGAAAAAGAACTAATACAAAAAAATACTTACCAGAGCCCACAACTGGAAATTCGAACTAGCGACCCCTCACTTTGGAGCTCACTACATTTGACAATTCCACCATGCAGCATACGTCTTCCAGCATACAAGCAGTGACCTATTTATACACGCCGCTTATCACTGGCAATACACAGAGCTTAAAGGTATGTGTGTTCACTATCTCCTAGAAGATGGCATGAAGGGCACACTTCAAAGGTCAGAGCGCCGGAGTTTAGGTATCTACTTCTGGCTTGTATTTTGACATACAGGGCAAGGCCGCCCATGCTCATGCGCTTATCTCTTTCTTGAGGGGAGAGGTTTCTACTTTTTGCCCTTTCACCCCAAAGTTTGCATCAAAGCTATAAAACGAAGGTCAGGAAGCGCAAATAGACAACCACCAATTTGTGGCACCAAGCCACAAGAAAATCCATATGGATTTCTCAAAAAGAAAGGCTTCTTAGTTGCCAAAAAAATTCGTCTTCGTCCAGGGATCGAAAACGGGACCAACGCCTTTCCGGGGCGGTCGCCCTACCAATCGAGCTAACCAGAAAGCTAGCAAATAGCAGCGCAAGGGTGAATTCGACAACTCTAAGCACATGGGTACAAGTAATGCAAATGAATTCTGCGAAGACCCGCAAGGTGGTGGAAAGGTTAAAAATGAAAAAGGGTTCTGAGGAGACCCGCAAGGTGGTAGAAGGGTTAAGAAAGCGAAAATAGACAACCACCCATTTGTGGCACCAAGGTACAAGAAAATCCGTAGGGATTTCTGAAGGGAAAGCTTCTTAATTGCCAAAAAAAACGCCCGGGTTCGATCCCCAGACCAGGACTGCTTTTTCGGCAGCTAAGAAGATTTCCTTGTTGAGAAATCCATATAGATTTCCTTGTGGCTTGGTGTCACAAATGGGTGGTTCTCTATTTTCTCTTTGTTAGCCCTTCTGCATCTTTGCAGGTCTCCTCAGAACTCATTTGCATTACTTGTGTGAATGTGCTTAGTGTTGTTGATGAATTCACCCCCACGCTGCCATTCGCTAGCTTTCTGGTTAGCTCGATTGATAGGGCGACCGCACCGGACAGATGTTGGTCCCGGGTTCGACCCCCAGACCAGGACAAATTTTTCGGACTACTAAGAAGCTTTTCTTTCTAAGAAATCCGCACGGATTTCCTTGTGGCTTGATGCCACAAAGGGGCGGTTATTTATTTTCCCTTTCTTGACCCTCCACCACCTTGCGGGCCTCCGCAGAACTCATTCGCAGAACGAAGGTCACCTTGCTTGCTGCAGCAGCCACATTTGCAAAAGGAATGACCTTCTAGCTGGAAGGGCCAAAGTAGGAGCTAGTTGAAGCCACAACTGTGACAGTTGTTGGTTTGCACTAATCTTGTGAATACATGTGCATTATTTCCGTGTATATATCTTTCCTTTTTTTTTTGTTACAGCAGAAATATTTACGAGAGCGCACGACCGGGGATTTCAACCAGCGACCCCTCGCTCCACAGCTCACTGCATTACACATTTCCACAACTGCAAGTGTTGAGCTGTGACAATTGTTAGTTCACACTTGTTCTGCATGTGTTCCTTACGTGCATCCTTCATGCTTGAGCAACGCGCTGCAAGTTTCGAGCTGCTTGCCATTCTACATGTAACATTCCAATATGTTCCTATTGTATTCATTGCTTCACCCTTGCAGTGAAAGTTTGACTTTTCAATTTGTGTTGCTTTGAGAAACGAGACTAATTTAATGATTAGACGGGGTTGACATCCTGAAAAACAATTAGACTAGTGCTCTAGACATAAAAACGGAGCATGTCTTATACTCTCCACAGCAAGAGATTAACTCAGCACGGTTTTTCGCACTCATGAAAAAAAAAGCGTTGACACATCTATACACACAGTTTGCAGTTTTAATATACACTGTACAGGAAGAGTTACAGGGCTCATAGAAAGAGCTGCGTGAAATCCAACAGCAAGCTGCGCAAGTGCACTATGCCTATTTTTTCCAACATAACAGGAAAAGAGCAGTGCCATGCTCACAAAGCATTGTAAGCATAAAGCAATTCTGAGATAATATACCAAACAATGTCAACGCTTCCTTCAAGAAAAGCTTAGAAAATGTCTACCAGAAAAGTAAAAGGTACTACAGCATACCTGGGTGGTGATAACCGCCGGGAAGCTGCACGTCGAGGTGAAGGACTTCTAGGAACATGTCGCTCTCCACCACGCCTTGGTGATAATGAGCGCCGTCGCTCAAACTCAGGTCCTCGATAGCGGGGTGGTGAAAGTTTCCTCAATGGTGAAGTCTTCCTACTAGGCGATATATTCCGTACAGGTGAGACTTTTCGCACTGGGGATTCTTTTCGTGAAAGTGACCTTCGAAATGGTGATGTCCTGCGATCTGGTGACAATCTACGAGATGGTGAAGCTCTCCAAGCAGGTGAAATTTTGTGCAAAGGGGACACCTTTCGAGGTGACACCCGGTGCAAAGGTGACACTCTCTTGGGAGATGATGCTCTTCGTGATGGAGACCCCTTTCGGACAGGAGAATATCTGCGGACTGGAGACATGCTCTTACGACCAGGAGAATATCTACGGACTGGAGACATGCTCTTACGACCAGGAGAAACCCTGCGACTAGGGGATGCTTTTCGACTCGGTGACCATTTCCATAATGGCGACTTGCGGGAAGGAGAGCTTCGCCTTGAGGGGCTTTTCTTTGGGCTCTTCCGGTATCGTGAAGGGCTCTCTTTTTTCTGCATGAACCGTTTCTGGCTTGGACTGGAAACATCCTGCCGAGACTTTTCAGTGTGGGCTTTCCTGGTAAAATAAAAACTCATGTTCAATACGCTGAAGTTCAACATTAAGTGAATTCTTCGTTGCTCAGGGTACAAGGCCAGAATTGAGAAAATGAAGTTTAACTTTTTTTTTAATTATGACTTCAATATGCCACAATCGGGGGTGGTCTGGGAACAACAGGCCTGTTTTCCTCCAACTTAGAAGTTCCAATATAAATATAACACAAAGCAAAATAGACAGAAGGAAATTAACAAGAAGGTAAGGCTCGCTACTTGAACATGACATGGCCATTTGTCTAAAGCCCATAGAAGAATTCGGGGATGAGAGACGACTAGCTGTCACTGGCCTAGGTAAGAGGTAAGAGCGCACGCATTGACAACAGCTCTGCCTGCCCTACTGGCAGCAAGGTAACAGGGCATTCCAATTTCTTCTATCTCTTTAACAATATAGGAATTAAAAATATTTTGTATAACACTCCACAGATGGTGCCTTACAACTTCCAGTACATAATCATAACTTACAATGGGCCCAGGTAGACGGGCCTTTTAAGGGTATGCAAGCACAATGTAAATCAGCATGCCTTAAACTAAGTGACTATTTTCATCATATGTTCATGATTACTATTTTCATCATTTATCAAAAATTCTTGCAAGCTCACAGAACAGTAAAAATATGAAAGCACAACAAGCTGATACTACAGTCTGTATGATAAAATAGTAGAATTTATATAAAAGTGCTCAGAAATGCCTGAAATAGAATAAAATATTTAGCACACAACTTTTGTGTGTGAAAGGTATATTTCTGAAAATTTTAAAATCAGAACCTGAGACGTAGATTCAAGTATTTATAAGCTGAATGCGCATAAATTGTTTATCACTTCTTTAGCCTCGCAGTAACAAAAACAAATTACACACGAATGGCAATCACTGGCAGCAAGGATGAACCAACCAACCAACCTGCTTGAACGAGGAGAACCGTCCTTTTCCTTTTCTTTATGACGATCACTGCGAGAATGAGCATGCTCTCGATTTTTTCCCTCCCAATCAGCCTTATGGTCTAGAGAAGATGTCCTTGAATGCTTCTTGCTACTGCTGTCTTGGCTTTTGCTAGACAGCTTGGTCTTCTTGCCCTTGTGAATTTCTTCATCTGAGCTTCCATAGTCACTCGGCACAAGTGTATAAAGCTTGGCCTGTAAAATTGCTTTCTGCTCTTCTAACTCTTCAAGGTTCATGTTGCTAACTTGAAGTGTGTCCCGATTGGTCACGGTGTCCAGAGGAGGGGGGCCTTTGTCACCACTCGATTTGCGTTTTTTGTCCTTGGAACTACGATGATGCTTATGCTTGTGCTTATGCTTCCTCTTTTTGTGTTTCCCGCCCCCTTCCCTGGCCTCTTTTCGGTGGGGTTCTGTAAATGGCTCATCACTGAAAAACAGAATAAACATGGCTAAGACAAAAAACAATACGACAGCAATCGTACAATGGTTATGGTCTCTACTTCGTTTATAACCATGGTATCACACACCATGTAATGAATGAGAACAACTATGTAAGCATCTGAGCACTGATGCAAACTTGTAATGATAGCTTAAAAGTAAGAAAATTATAAGGCTAGTCTTACACTCAATACAAACGGAGTGAAATCAACATTTGCAGGGCTTGCCTCATGATTCTATGACAGCCCAACTAATGATAACAACCACCACACACGAAAAAAAACACTGGCTAGAACTACCTAGATTCGATTGCCCACAAACAGTGAAAAATATTTTCCTGAATTTACACACGAAAGGCTTTGTCCCGATGTATTTGATTCCATTAACTATCACCAGTGGAGCAGCATTTTCAAGGGCTTAAAGCACAGTGTTACATCATTTACAACCATAACCACATCGAGAGGAATGTGCAGCTTACCCATAATTGCGGAGACACAGCACTTAAGTTGGGAACCATGTTTAAGAGATACCAGGCGACCAGGAGTAAGAGAGCTGTATTACATAAAATCCTCATGCCATCTACACTTCGAGGTGCTTGCTTTAGTGCACATTTACATATATATAGAATAAAGGAAAACACTAAACTAAATTTTATTACTGTTAGACTACCAGTTTCCTTGACAAGTATTTGACGTTCAAATACGGGATAAAATTTTATCAAAGGAGCAAATAAAGGAATCTTTTACATTTGGTGTCTGTGCACATAATACTGCAGCTGGGTGATGCAATAAATTTCATAATACATAAGATATTTATGCCTAATCAGAGTAGTAAAGTAGGCTTTCATTTTTATTATATTCTGAACCTTTTGGTAATGCCTATTTAGGACAGCACCTTAAAATAGAACGTTATAGGGCTGGCCCACATACTAACATGAACACTACCATGACATCCTATACATATAAATCAACTTATACCTTCTCACAACACAAATTCAAATAAACCACTTTTTAAAATAGTCTATTGAATTGGCCAAAACAAACTGTTTTTTTTTTCTTAACATGTAGATTTATATTATTTCTACCCTGAAAATTCCTTTTGCAACCCCAGGCGGCAAAAAAGTAAACATCCATTTGATCTCTACCACATTACCTTTTACTAACTGTATGCTGTTAATTGTCCCTATATTAGAGTTGATGTGGGAGTACACTTTTTTATTACAATCTTTTGCAACTTAAAATGTGCAGAGATGCCTTAGTTTGTACTGAGAAGAGCAGCAGCACCGCCTTCGCTTGACATAGGATCAATGCTCATGAGAGTGGCAGCATGAATGTTGTCAGCTGCGTGCCTAGCGGTACCTGCAGACGAGTTGGAGGAGTACAGGGATAGGGTGGCAATAGAGGGACCTGACGTGAGGACGAGCATTCAGAAACCATCTTTTAACTTCAAGAAGGGCTCAAAACGTCACTATGAAGGTGGTTAAGCCACAGTTGCACTCGCTCCTGTGAAAGCAGAACCTAGCGTAATGAACAGTTTGCGAAGTGGGCTATCGGCATCGCTGTCGCTTCATAACAATGCTGGAGAAGGGACTCAGTTTTTTTGTTTTAGAGGCTTCTCAGAATGAGTAATTCTGCTTACAAAATATCCATGTGCTTTTGTAATTAACCACTGCAAGTTTAACCACACCAAGGGGGAGCTTTCCGTTGCACCTTAAAGAACTAGGTTGAAAAAAATCAGTTGTCAGTCCCATTGAGTAAGTTAGAGGCATACCAGGCTTCATTTTTATTAACATCAGTCTAGTGCAGTTCTAGTAGTACATATTACCTACCATTCTGACTCAACTACCTTTTTTTGTTCCATACACAGACAACTTTACTACACATCTTTTTTCATGGTTCTGCACTGCCCATTCTACCAAAAAAAAATACATGAAGCATATTTTTAAGCTGGGTTCTATTAAAAAACAGGACACTCATTATGCACTAAACACCATATGAGCTGTCAAGCTTATTAAGCCATAGTGCCCCAGCAAAAGTGAAGATTACATTTGCAGATACCACATGCACAAACTTCGAAATGCTCTTTTATGCAGTAAAGTAACACACCCTTACTTCGTTTCCCACAAGTACAAGATGACTCTGAACCCATACAATGGATTGGCATTGTATATTTTTTTCCCTTCCTTTCTTCAAAAGGCTTATTGACAGAAAAGAGGGGGGGGGGGGATAGAATGTCCCACTGATAGTGAATATAATAATAATAAGAAGAATAATAACAATAATAATATATGGGGTTTTACATCCTAAAACCATGATATGAATAATATGAATATGAGGGACACCTTAGTGCAGGGCTGTGGAAATTTTAACTATCTGGCGTTAACGTGCACCGATATCTCACAATACACGAGCCTCTGGCATGAGAGGTAATAAGGCAATTTGGTTGTTTAATTCAGCTCACTGAAACCTAGTGAAAAAGCAGTGCCGAGTTGTGCACTTAGTGACATGCCTGCTAAATCCTGTGCACACACTACTCAATCCAGTTTTAACACTAATGCTGGGTGCTTGGAATCTGCCACTTGTCTATAGAAATCAGTCAAGAAAGGTGCATATTGCTGTGGTGTTGGAATGGCTGTTGCAAAAGCAAGCAGCGGAAGTTTCAAATTACTTCATACCTGTACCCATTAGCCACAATGTGAGCTGTATTGACAAAGAAGCTAACGAGCCCTTAATAAGCTTTCAAAAATGTAACAACACTGGCCGGGACTGACTCAAAGATGCCTCACTAAGTGTAAAGACAAGTTAGTGCTTTGTGGCAAGAGCACTACCCGGCATTGATGAGTATGTAGGTCAAACCAGTGTGTGTCTGAGCAAACTTCTCAGAACAACATGTTTTTAATATAGAAAGAAACGTCAGTGGACAACTTTGGTATTGTCGAGATTCAGTTTCCATTCTATTTCAGCTATTTATATGAGAAGCAATAGTAAGAAGCAGAGACAGGATTGTACGTGAAATCATAGAAGTACCAGAAATTTCAAAAAGGTATAAGAAGTGCGTCAGTTGGCATCACTTGCTCTTACAAGCAACGAGTGATTTTTTATTGTATTGTTATTATTAATAGTTTAATAGTACAAAGGCTACAATTGCCATAAAGCAGAAATACTATGGCAGATTTTCTATTGCAAAATATGCGATAATGGTGATGTTATCCACCGACAGCAATTCTTTGTGTCTTATCATCATCAGACTATATTCTGTAGAATACAGGAAAAAGGCAACTCCCGGTCACCAATTCACACTATCGCAAGCGAGCTGATACTATTTCATTCCTCAAAGTTAATTTATCACTCCATCTAACTTGCAGCCATATTCAAATGTGTTTTCGGTCCCTTGGTAACCATCCTGCTCTCTCTCTCCTACACATTCCATGGCCATGCCAGGTCCATTTCTCTCGCTTTATGTCCACTTGACTATCCCCTACCCACGATTGTTGCATAACCTACTCCGCAGTTTTCTGATCGCAATGTCAGTGAAATGCCCTGTTACTTTTAGTTTTTCTGGGAGGATGAGCATTTATACTTACAATCAACAAAGTAAAGTTCACAAGCATCTCGTCGATTTGTCTTTGCCTTATCTTCTAGGAAATATCAGACATGCAAGACTACCTAGCACAATGCTCAACGTTGAAGAATGTTTTAATGCATCTCCCATATTACCCTACTTTGAGCAGACACTCTGAATAGTTAGCTTTCCATCGCTATGGAAAAAAAAATGGAACCAGAAATATTGGTCATCAGTTCTTTATAAAATCCACCAAAGTGAACACAACAAACAGTACATGAGAACATGCGCGAAATATATTTTAGGTTCTCAATGCATCACAATCAGCAGCATTTACAGCATGGACACAAATATCACATCCTGGTGCTCTGAGGTGAACTGAAACTGAAAAGAGCAGGACAAACAGTACATGGGGACATGCCCTAAACGTATTTTATGTTCTCAATACATCACAATCAGGAGCATTCACAGAATTACAACACGAATATCACATCCTGGAGCTAGTGCCACAGCTGTTATGACAATATTGACAGACTGACAGCTGTTTAGATGCACATTTACATAAGCACAATATGTTAAAAAGAACATCAAATTCTTATTTCTCTGCATTTTATAATGCATACAGTTGCAAAGTTGTCATTAATAAAGCCTTCACATAATCGAGGACATTAAATTAGGCAACAGGGGGACGTCACAGAGCTCGGTGTTATCACCAACCTTTTCCAACATCGTGATGTTGAAACTGCCTGAACAGTTAGGAGATATTGAGAATTCAAATCACACTATTTACGCAAACGACTTGACATTATGGATTAACAAGAGCAGTGACGGGCAAATTGAAAGCTCTCTAAAACAAGACGACAAGTTAAGCTAGTTGGATTACGTTCATGTTTGAAAATTCGGTTAAAGCGGACTGAAAAGACATGGACAGAAGAGATATTGCTCCGCAGCCCAGACCCCAACATCCAGCAAAACATCATCAAAGCCCTTGCTGCTGCCATTGTGTCTCAAGGAATGCCACCCAACAACTAGGGGTGACGGGCGCTGCCTGATGTTATTGACTTTTTTTTAAATAAAGTTTTTGCTCTCTTTCTCTATTAAGTGGCTTGACCACCAGTGTAACTCACACACTGTCAAGAGAAAACAGTAGTGATTCACACTGCAGAATGCACCCTCACATGATTTCGTTTGGTGAACTCATTTCACTGAGTTGAAGTATGCAAGCCTCGATAGAGAAGGCTAACAGATATATAAATTAATAGTGAAGCAGTCTGAAGATTTTTATACCACTGTTTTATACATATTGATGAAACAGCGCAAAAGCCACATTCACACACAAAGAAAGAACAAAGAAGCATGTATGCGTATTTTTTTACATGTGCATGAATATGTGCTTTTTGGGCTGTTCATAAATAGCATCGCTCACCA